TAAGAAAAGCCATCATTGCCGCCAGGGATTCACGCGGGAAACTATCCATTGACCGAGCGTCCATGGCGATGATCCAACTGCGAATGGACGACAACCCCCCACCAAACTGTAATCTTTCTGACAGCCAATGAATCCGGACGAACGGAGGCACTGCAACCCTACCCAAGAGAAGCAAAAAAGAGCAGAAGTCAAATGGACAGAGCCAGACAAGACAGGCCGAGCATGACATTCCATGGGTCACCATCCCACATGCTGCAGCCCGGTGTGCCGGTGAAGGTCGAGCTTCTGGGGGGGCGTCCACTAGCGCCGTAATGAAATTACCAACTGCGCTCTGGACTGGAGCCACTTTACTATGGCAATAGCTTACCGTCCAGGGCCCAGCGGTGTAATCTGATTACAGTACCGCCTGCCAATCGTGCCGCAGCGTCATCGCCCGTCCGGGATCCCCTCCTCCGCCTTGCGCTGACCTGCCCCTCCGCTCCTCTGCTTTGGCTTGCCGGGCTGCCGCTGGATGAGGGTCATCATCCCCAAGTACTTCTATGCCCTCCTCTCCTCCTCCTCCCCTCTTCTTCCTCCCAACTTTCTCATCTCATTCCTCTCTGTCCATCTCTCTCTCCCTCTCCTCACGCTCATCATCCTCTTGAGGTTCTTCCCCTCCTCCTCCTCCTCCTTTTCCCGTCGGGTAAGTCGCCGGATCCCTCCAATTGAGTTCCCTAATCCTCCCACGATTTCCCCGCGCTCTCCCACGCTTTCCCGTTCCGAAACCGGGCCTTTTTCTTCCCCGGAAGCACCTTCTCCCCAGGTGACTCACGCCAACGTATCACTGCTCCGTTTTCTGGCTTGCTTTTTTTTCTTCCGAGCATCATTGGATCATTCGGCTAACTCGTATACTATATTTCCCTTGATCCCCAGCTCCCTGTGCCTTCTCTCTCTCATCTAGATCTCCTCTGAATAGCTCTCCATCTTCCCTTCCTATACTCTAGCTCCCCACCCTCCCCCTCCCACCCTTATCCATCCTTATCAACAACCACACACACACACACACACCGCCCGCCATGGCTGCTCCCCGTCAGCCCGAGGAGGCGGTCGATGACACCGAGTTCATCGATGACCACCATGACCAGCACAGGGACTCTGTCCACACCCGTCTGCGTGCCAATTCGGCCATCATGCAGTTCCAAAAGATCCTTGTTGCCAACCGTGGTGAAATCCCCATTCGTATCTTCCGGACGGCCCACGAGCTGTCCCTGCAGACTGTCGCCGTCTACTCCCACGAGGACCGTCTCTCCATGCACCGTCAGAAGGCCGATGAGGCCTACATGATCGGCAAGCGCGGTCAATATACACCGGTCGGGGCCTACTTGGCCATTGATGAGATCGTCAAAATTGCTCTTGAGCATGGTGTGCACCTGATCCACCCGGGTTATGGTTTCCTGTCCGAGAACGCCGAGTTTGCCCGCAAGGTGGAGCAGCACGGCATGGTTTTCGTCGGCCCTACCCCCCAGACCATCGAGAGCCTTGGTGACAAGGTCTCCGCCCGTCAGCTGGCTATCCGCTGCGACGTGCCCGTCGTGCCCGGTACCCCGGGCCCTGTCGAGCGCTACGAGGAGGTCAAGGCCTTCACCGACACCTACGGCTTCCCCATCATTATCAAGGCCGCCTTCGGTGGTGGTGGTCGTGGTATGCGTGTCGTCCGCGACCAGGCCGAACTGCGTGACTCCTTCGAGCGTGCCACCTCCGAGGCCCGCTCTGCCTTTGGCAACGGCACCGTCTTCGTTGAACGTTTCCTCGACCGCCCCAAGCACATTGAAGTCCAGCTGCTGGGTGACAACCACGGCAACGTCGTCCACCTGTTCGAGCGTGACTGCTCCGTCCAGCGCCGTCACCAGAAGGTCGTTGAGATTGCCCCGGCCAAGGATCTGCCTGCCGATGTCCGTGACCGCATCCTGGCTGATGCCGTCAAGCTGGCCAAGTCGGTCAACTACCGCAACGCCGGTACTGCAGAGTTCCTGGTCGACCAGCAGAACCGCTACTACTTCATTGAGATCAACCCCCGTATCCAGGTCGAGCACACCATCACCGAAGAGATCACGGGCATTGATATCGTTGCTGCTCAGATCCAGATTGCGGCTGGTGCTACCCTGGAACAGCTGGGCCTGACCCAGGACCGCATCTCCACTCGTGGATTCGCTATTCAGTGCCGTATCACCACCGAGGACCCCTCCAAGGGCTTCTCCCCCGACACCGGTAAGATCGAGGTCTACCGCTCTGCCGGTGGTAACGGTGTCCGTCTGGATGGTGGAAACGGTTTCGCCGGTGCCATCATCACTCCTCACTACGACTCCATGCTGGTCAAGTGTACCTGCCGTGGTTCCACCTACGAGATCGCCCGCCGCAAGGTCGTTCGTGCCTTGGTCGAGTTCCGTATCCGTGGTGTCAAGACCAACATTCCTTTCCTCACTTCTCTTCTGAGTCACCCCGTGTTCGTGGATGGTACCTGCTGGACCACGTTCATTGATGACACTCCCGAGCTGTTCGCCCTCGTCGGCAGCCAGAACCGTGCCCAGAAGCTGCTGGCTTACCTGGGTGATGTGGCTGTCAACGGCAGCAGCATCAAGGGCCAGATCGGCGAGCCCAAGCTCAAGGGCGATATCATCAAGCCCATCCTGCATGACGCTGCTGGCGAGCCCCTCGACGTCTCTGTCCCCGCTACCAAGGGATGGAAGCAGATCTTGGACAGCGAGGGTCCCGAGGCTTTCGCCCGCGCTGTGCGTGCCAACAAGGGCTGCTTGATCATGGATACTACCTGGCGTGACGCCCACCAGTCGCTGCTGGCCACTCGTGTGCGTACCATTGACCTCCTGAACATTGCCCACGAGACTAGCCATGCCCTCGCCAATGCCTACAGTTTGGAATGCTGGGGTGGTGCCACCTTCGATGTCGCCATGCGCTTCCTGTACGAGGACCCCTGGGACCGTCTTCGCAAGCTGCGCAAGGCAGTTCCCAACATCCCCTTCCAGATGTTGCTCCGTGGTGCCAACGGTGTTGCCTACTCTTCCCTCCCTGACAACGCCATCTACCACTTCTGTAAGCAGGCCAAGAAGTGCGGTGTCGACATATTCCGTGTCTTCGATGCTCTCAACGACGTTGACCAGCTCGAGGTCGGTATTAAGGCTGTTCACGCTGCTGAGGGTGTTGTTGAGGCTACTATTTGCTACAGTGGTGACATGCTCAACCCTAGCAAGAAGTACAACCTGCCTTACTACCTCGACCTTGTCGACAAGGTGGTTCAGTTCAAGCCCCACGTCTTGGGTATCAAGGACATGGCTGGTGTGCTGAAGCCCCAGGCTGCTCGTCTGCTGATCGGCTCCATCCGCGAGCGCTACCCCGACCTTCCCATCCACGTGCACACCCACGACTCCGCTGGTACCGGTGTGGCTTCTATGATTGCTTGCGCCCAGGCCGGTGCTGATGCTGTCGATGCTGCCACCGACAGTCTTTCCGGCATGACCTCCCAGCCCAGCATTGGTGCTATCCTCGCTTCCCTCGAGGGAACCGAGCACGACCCTGGCCTCAACTCGTCCCAGGTGCGCGCCCTTGACACCTACTGGGCCCAGCTGCGTCTCCTGTACTCGCCCTTCGAGGCGGGTCTGACCGGTCCCGACCCCGAGGTTTACGAGCACGAGATCCCCGGTGGTCAGTTGACCAACCTGATCTTCCAGGCCAGCCAGCTTGGTCTGGGCCAGCAGTGGGCTGAGACGAAGAAGGCCTACGAGTCTGCCAACGATCTTTTGGGCGATGTTGTCAAGGTCACTCCCACTTCCAAGGTCGTCGGTGACTTGGCTCAGTTCATGGTCTCGAACAAGTTGACCGCTGAAGATGTGATTGCCCGCGCCGGCGAGCTTGACTTCCCCGGTTCCGTGCTGGAATTCCTCGAGGGTCTCATGGGCCAGCCCTACGGTGGATTCCCCGAGCCTCTGCGCTCTCGCGCTCTGCGTGACCGTCGCAAGCTCGACAAGCGCCCTGGTCTGTACCTGGAGCCCCTTGACCTGGCCAAGATCAAGAGCCAGATCCGGGAGAACTATGGCGCAGCCACCGAGTACGACGTGGCCAGCTATGCCATGTACCCCAAGGTCTTCGAGGATTACAAGAAGTTCGTCGCCAAGTTTGGTGATCTGTCCGTCCTGCCCACGCGTTACTTCTTGGCCAAGCCCGAGATCGGCGAGGAATTCCACGTCGAGCTGGAGAAGGGTAAGGTGCTGATCCTGAAGCTGTTGGCCATCGGTCCCCTCTCCGAGCAGACCGGTCAGCGCGAGGTCTTCTACGAAGTCAACGGTGAGGTTCGTCAGGTTAGCGTGGACGACAAGAAGGCATCCGTCGAGAACACTGCCCGCCCCAAGGCCGAGCTGGGTGACAGCAGCCAGGTCGGTGCTCCTATGAGCGGTGTGGTTGTTGAGATCCGTGTCCACGACGGCTTGGAAGTCAAGAAGGGTGACCCGATTGCCGTTCTGAGCGCCATGAAGATGGTATGTGCAACCCTAGAACTATCAATCAAAAGTCAAGATCGGCCGCTAACATTCAATAGGAAATGGTTATCTCTGCTCCCCACAGTGGCAAGGTCTCCAGCTTGCTGGTCAAGGAAGGTGACTCGGTGGATGGCCAGGATCTCGTGTGCAAGATCGTCAAGGCCTAGAAGAGTAACACCGTTATGACGGCAATGTTTGAAAAGCTAATGTCGATGTTGATGTCCTTGCGACCGGCTTATTTTTCCTCACGCTGAACAAGGACACTATGCCAATATTCTTCTTTTAGATTAGAGCGTCTGTTATGTTTATGAAATATTTTGGGTTGGGATTGGGTTATTTCCATATTTATGCCACAGCTTATTTACGATCAATGGTTGTCAGGGACATACTATGTCGACCATATGAATGACAAGTGATTCTAAAGCATTGTTCCAGATATTCGTAGTCTCTAGTAGATGAGGCATATATAGACATCGTGCGATATATACAGAATCAAGGCCAACCTCCATTTACTCAGAAGCATTGAACCCCATCCTTTAAAGCTTTGCAGCAGAAGCCTCCGGCTCTCCCACCTCCCGTAAAGCCTTCCAGACGCGCATCGCCTCATCCCAAAGCGCATTATCCTGCACAATCTCAACCGACCCATCAGGCTTCAAGGTCCTCATCTCCCGATGATGCGTCGTACCCCACTTCACATCCCCCTCCCCATGAACAAGTCTAATAAACGGATCCATCAAAGCCCGCCGAATAACAACCTTCTCCTCCGGCTCCAACACATGTCCATTCCCCCAGAACCAAATGGGATAATCACTAGAATGCGTAACCTCCCAGTCGGGCGGAATATTGGCATCCACACACTTAGCCCGCCACTCAATCCGATACCGATAAAGCAAATGTCCCGCCCCGCCACTAGCAAGAGCATGAATCAGCCCGCGCTGCATATCATGCACCTGCATCTTGGCATACACCCGCCCGAAGGCATCATTGTCCCAGTTCTCGCAGCACGATGGCAACTTGCCGTCTGGGTAGTGGAGCTTCATGAGCGTGTCCACGACGTGGCGCGGGTAATCTGCGAGAAGTCTGGAATGGAGAGCGGAGAGACTGTCGGCTTGTGGGGGGAACCAGGCGGCGTAGAGGTGTCGCTCGTCGCGGCATTCGCCGAGCATGATGCGCACGTTTCGTGCGGTGAGGGCGCGCGCGAAGGCTCCGCTGTCGAGGGATTTGAAGAGGGTGGGTTGGATGAAGGCTGAGTCGGAGGTCGGGCGGTATTGGTTTAGTTGCACGCTCATGGCGGCGTCGAGGAGGGTTTGGGAGGGGAGGGACCGGAGATGGGAGATCTTCTCGGCCCAGGGGAGGGTGCTGGGGATGTTTAGGGCTGAGAGGAGTTGATCGAATTGTTCTTGGGCGGAGGCTGGAGATTTGGGCTGTACGGCGGCGGCGTTGGACCAGATGCAGGCTTGTTTGATTAGTGCTTGGGAGGCGGGGAATTGGAGGTCGTAGGCGAGTTGGTAGAATGTTGAGTAGGCGCCTGGTTGGGTTAGTTTTGCGGCTTCGCATGTAGGGAGAGGGGGGTCTAGGCAACTCACCGGCTGAGTATCCGGAGACGGTGATTTGGGATGGGTTGCCGCCGAAGAGGCTGATGTTGTCCCTCGTCCATTCTAGGGCTAGACGCTGGTCCCAGAAGCCGTGGTTGCCTGCTGTTTCGCCTACAGAAGAGGCGTCCTTCTCGATCTCCGAGGAGTATAAGAAACCGAAGACGTTCAGCCGGTAGGCTGGAAGGACGACAATGGCGTTGAGTCCAGCATCGCCTAGTAAGGCTGCGGCGGAGAATCCGTTCGGGTGGCCGAATTGTAGCCAGCCTCCGTCTAAGATGTGAATCCATCAGTATCAGATCAGGGAATGGGTTGTAGGCACTTTCAGAGGGGCGCGCATACGGATGAAGAAAAGGACCGGCCAGCCTATAGGAACATTTTATTAGCTTCGGCTGATATGTCAAGGACCACGATACTTACCTTCCTTGGGGGGCTCTCCTAGCGGTACCCACACGCTGGCTTCAAAACAGTCCTCTGTGAACCCCTTCGTGTACGGACGACCCATGAAGCTGGGCTGCGGACAAACAGCAGCATCTTTGTCGCAAGGGGCGGGTTGGTCTTTGGTGCCGTAGGAATAGGACTCGGGGAGCTTCTGGGCCCGACGCCATCTTTCAGGAGGAGGAAGAGCATATCGAACAGATCCAAAATAGTGGCACAGAGGCTGGTTAGATGCTTTTGAGTGCAGAGTGGTGCCCTGAATGTAGCCACGATGAGCCAGGGACTTCAGGTAGGGATGACCAAATGTCTCCAGAAGTGCCATTGTGGGCTGAGAGAATGAATATATATATGGCGGGCAGTCTTAGAGCTCTTGTGGTATAATAGCGAGTGAGAAATGGTCGAAAGCTATGGCACACGAGGTTCCATGGATAGATATAGCCCCAGAAAGGGCCGTTCTGACCGACGGCATCTCCGCACGAGGGGGAGGGCGCTCGCGTCTTTAGCGCATGATAAGGGTCCCGATGGCCGAAATCTTGGCAGGCGGTGGAGACTCAGGGGAAGAATTGACGAATCCTAAGATAACTGACATGTTTGCTAGATCGTCGGCAAATATAGCCTATAGAATGATAAGATATAGCGGAAATGTAAGGGGGAAACGCGGACGCTGAACCATGATAAACGGTCAAGATGGGCGAGGCATATCAAAGCGGCCCGCGGGGAAGCCGAAATCGTTCCGCTTCGGCCCCAGATTTGGATGCCGCGAGTTGCCTGAGGCATTAAATTATAGGTCAGCAGAAGGATGGAGTGATGGCCTGCTCCTCGGCCATGTCTTTTCCTCTAGCTTCTGATGCATCTGTACGCTGTACGCAAATGCTAAGCCAGTGCCTATGATGATGTTTCATTTCAGGGTCCCAAGTCTGTGTGTCATACGGTTCAACACCTCCATTGTATGCTGCGCCATTTTCGAATAGATGACAGATGCCATCGAATATATCCTCAGCTAGTTAGTTGCACATTACCCCGCTCATTGAAGATAAACAGTCTCTAGACACAGTGCAGATATTGATGCTTCACAGGAAGAGACAGACGGTACTTTTTCTCTCTGCGCAGTTACTCTTCGATCCCCGCATTTGGCAGTGCACCTGACGTCAAGCCATCATGGATGAATTCCATTGGCACACGACCAAATCTGCACATCGTTTTATTGGATTGTTTCCGCCTAAGAGGGCTGATTAATCCCAAATAACTTGTGACACTTTGGAAATTATCCGTGGATCGACGTATACGATTTCCCAGAGATGATGAATCATTGCCGTTGTCAAAGAAGCTTTTGCAATCCTAGGACCGGGGTCCCCAAGCCATTACTGCCCATTATTGGTTCATGGACGTCCTTTTGCCCCCTCAGACCTATGGGCCTGCCTCTTGCTGCATCATCATACCCAGGGTCTGGTTCACAGCATTCGGAGGGTGGCTGACTTACCCCTCTCTTACTTTGGGAATCTCTTATAAGGAGCTGCTGTCGTCCCGGGTATTTGCTCTGATCGGTAAAAACAACTCCTGTATCGAGGACACACTGCAAATAAGCTAACCGGTAAGTTCAAGTCTTGATTTCGAGTTCGCCCTCTTCAATATCGATCAGCTGGACTCTGTTTCTTTGATTATCTGTCGTTGAGATGACACCGGAGCCTCCCGGTTACATGATGAAAGAGCTATGTAACCATAGCCCGTGATCGATTTGGCTGCTATTCACCCGCGGTTGTTTGCCATACACATGCACCTGTTTAGTCCCTTTTCCTATGGATCACATCCTCACTTCAACTTACGAAGCACGCAGTTGATACTGCTCCTTCGATCTCATCGAGAACCAAGAAGTACAAGAAAAGAGGAACCATGAGCAACAACCAACAGCCCCAGTCTCCCCGTCATTGGCATGGCACTGTCGGTGATCGCTACGAGCATCTCAACGTCTGGGTGCGAGGAGGTCCTCCTGAGACCTACCGTCGGCCTTCGATCCCTACCACCACCGCTGCCACTGCCACTTCCGACAGACGCGTATGTCTGAACAGTTTCTGTCATCATCCCAAGCACTTGACTTCAGCCTGATGATTGGCACCTTCACACTCCTAGCATCTACACTAACTAACCGTTCTCCATATGAAGGGCTCTGATTCATCGGATATGTCTTCCAACTCTGCCAATCTGAGCAACAGCCCTCCCCCCAGCGTTGGGGATAGAAGACGCTCAACCGGCCATGGCGCATCCAGCCTATTTGAGAGTCTGACAAGTCAGAAGCGCAACTCTACTGACCAGACTCTCAATACACGCCGTGAAAGCTGGAACGAGCAGGGCCAGCAGGGCGGATTCTTCGCCAAGTGGTGGGATGGATACACGAGAGGAGGTAGTAAATAATCCCAACTAATTCCCTTCTTTGATGAAATGCTATGACATCGGAAATGTTGGACGCGAGGGGCCAGATCCCTCAGTGATTTATGCGAATATTGTTGCTATTTAGTCAAGTCAGGCGAGGTATAGCTATGCTATCTCGACGAAGTTATGTTGCATGTACGTATGATGACTACTGTAATAGTCAACAGACATAATTTGACTAGCGTTTGCTTGATCGCACATTTGGATCGTAAGGGATTAGTAGAATGCGGGGTTCTGCGGTCGCAAGATTCGCCAGCCCCAAACTATACATGCCAAAATTGGTACGTAATTAGGACCTTGGACCCAAACCTAAGCTGTTTCACAGAGAATTTCCCCATCAAAAACTTGGTAGCATGCCTGTCGAGCGGCAATCAGTAGTACTAGAGACCCGGGGTATTGGGCTAGACTCTACAAGCGCGGTCGGTCAATAGCCAGTTTGGCTGCTACGAGTCGGTCGGCTTATCTACTCAAAGAGTATTCAAAGATACCACTACGAGGCCGAGATTGAGCACAGAAACAGGGTGTTGAGACCCATGTTTCTTAAGCATCAGTCCTGGGGTAGCAGAGAATAATGCTAGAAGCACATCTCGCAAAAGGAAACACTCAATCTCAGAGATATGAGTTTCAGGCCAAATGCACACTATAGCACCACTGTGTGTTGAAAGTGGTACAAGTGGCAAAACACAGCAAAAGCATCATGGGAGACCTTTCATCAATGGTTATGCGGAAATCATCACCCTTCGTGAAGCCTTCATTGAGAAAAGTGGATGCGTATGAAAAATTTGGGAATTTGATATCTCTAACACGCCTAACCTCATGCCGTGGTAGAAAAGCCATATTTCAGAGCAGAGCGATAATGATTTTCAAGAACGCCTGCCTCCTTTTCTGACCATTTTTTGATCGATTCATCATAATCACAACCCCGGAGCTTTCCCTCCTGAAGACCCCGTGGATGAGGGCATTTACCGGACGATACCGTCGAAGCGGTTCTTGAACCACTTGACGGTCTCGTTCTGGGTGATACGGTGCTGGGAGCCGATACGGGCCTTGCAGCGGCGGCGCTTGGCGACACGCTCACCAGGGCGGGTCCTAGTAATTCCGAGTCAGTTCCTGATGCCTGGATGTTGTCCTGCCCGACCTGGATCGACACCGATGGATCTGTCGAACTAGGACTGCGTAGAGGTTGGAGTGCACTCACATGCAGCAGTAGAAGTCCATGCCGTAGATACCGATACCGGGGTCGTACTTGATACCCAGATCGATGTGCTCGGAGATACCGAAACCGAAGTTACCGGTCTCAGAGAAGTTGCGCTTGCGGAGCTCGTACTCCTTGACCTTAAGACCACGCTCAAGGATCTCCTCGGCCTTGGGGCCACGGACGGTAACGTGGACGGAGATCTTCTCGTTACGACGGATACCGAAGGTACGGACGGTGTAACGGGCCTTGCCTAAACGTTGAAAAAATCATCCCATCAGCCATCCATTCCATATCAAAGTTGTCATATCCTCCTTCCTCGGCTGCTTCGTATTCGAAATTCTCGGATTCATCGGGTTCGGGCGTTCTTACTGTAGACCGGAGTCTGACCGCTCAGCTGCTCGAGCACCTTAGCAGCGCGAGTAAGTCTGTCACCAGACTCGCCGACGGAGATGTTGAGCACGAGCTTCTGGATGCGCAGCTCGCGCATAGGGTTGGCGGACTTGTCCTTGGATTCCGACTGCATGGCGACAAAAATGTTAGAAAAAATTTTTGCTTATGAAATTTTCGGAGTCTCGAGAATCGGGTTTATATCAATGCTGAAAAGTGTTTTGGCGATGGGCAACATACCATGGCGACTGCTTTTGGCGTGAACTGGTCGACTGGTTGGTTGGAAGAAACTCAAGGATCGAAAAGTGTGTAAAAGGGAAATGTGTGGGTTGAAAGTGGGAAGCGAGAGCCCTTAGTGGCTTGGCGCGGTCGACTGGCGCCAAGCCGCAGAGCCGCGCCTCATGGACCTCCGACCCGTAGCAAGTCGAGCTGGTGCCGCTTGGAGAAAGTGTTGCAGACCTCGACCGACCTTCACTCCGAGCGCGACAGCTCAGTAAGGACAAAGTGACGATTAAGTAGAAGATTACCCCTTCTACCATCTCACAAAACAATTCTTTGGTTTTACTCAAGTCGCACTCGTGCGCATTCATAGCCCAACATGGCGGCTAATAAGCAGGGCAAGATGGTGAGTTGATCGGATCCTTCCCTTTGCTGTTGATATCAGCTTGTATACCCATGTTCGCGTGGCTAACTCATTCTCTTTATTCTGATAGCAAAACCTCGTAAGTTACTGACGGTACATATTTTACTCGCGCGTCAAACCTGACATTATCCTCAGATCAACTACCGGATGAGAGTCACCCTCAATGATGGCCGACAGATGACGGGACAGATGCTCGCTTTCGATAAGGTATATATCCCCGGGCCCTTCAGTGGCCATCGGATAATACTTGTAGTACGCTGGTCGCTGACGCAGTCAATTAGCACATGAACCTTGTCCTCGCCGATACAGAAGAATTCCGTCGCGTCAAGCGCAAGTCCAAGCCCGCCGCCGGTTCGACCAACGCACCTCTTGTCGAAGCCGAAGAAAAGCGCACCCTGGGTCTTACCATTGTTCGCGGTACACATGTCGTCTCTTGCTCCGTTGATGGACCTCCTCCCGCCGATCCCTCTGCCCGACTTGGTACTGCTGGCCCTGGTGCAGCTGCCGCAGCTGCCACTCTCGCAGCTGGCCCTGGAATTAGCAAACCCGCTGGACGTGGTCTGCCGGTTGGTCTGGGAGGCCCTGCTGCGGGTGTTGGTGGCCCTCCCCCGCCGCCCGGCGGTTTCCCTGGTTTCCCTCCTGGTGGTGGTTTCCCTGGAGTTCCCCCTCCGGGCTTCGCTGGTCGTGGTGGTGCCCCTGGTGGACCTCGTAAGTTTGCACTTCGGAGCTCAATGGTTGAACATGGTTACTGACATAAGCTATCAGCTGGCTTCGCTCCTCCCCCGGGATTCGCGCCTCAGGGTGCTCCTCGTAAGTATCCTAAGGTTACGCGTTATGGTTCATGAGCTAACTGAGGCTGTTGTAGCGGGTGCTTTCCAACCCCCACCGGGATTCCAGCCCCCTGGACAGGGCCGCGGATTCCCTCCACCCGGCTTTGGTGGACGGTGATTTGATAGTATGTGCAGCAGCATGATGGCTTGCAACCTGGCCATGACACCGGCATGGCAGATACTTCGAACTACGAATCAAGCGAACAATATTCACTTCCCATTAGTCGCCTATTTGACGAACCTCAGACGAATAGGCATAGCACCCCGAGTTTTACCAGGCAAAGGCGTTGCGGCGTGTGCGGATGCAGGGAATGCCCTGACAAAAGAAAAGGTCGACCGAAATAAGGATAGGACCGACAGAAGTAATGCTAGATGTATTTCGAGCACTCAATTGTATTAGTGAATCCTAATGAGGGTTTGAAGCCTTTAATTTCTCTGTTTCAAGTAAGACTATACTTTAATTCTACGGCGATTGGACAGCTGCAGGTGTAGATTTAAGCCTAGTAGTACGCAGTAAGCACCTAGCAGGTCCGATTCAACCAACGACTTCGCAGGGATATAGTGCACGTGACCGTCTCCGGGTAACTCCGCCCGGCGCGGACTGCAGGTGACGGAGTGAGGAAAGCAAACCGCTCGGCCCTGCGTACTCTCCTCTGATCAACTCTCCACTCCTCACTTCAGTCCAAGCCTTCGAGTCGTCAAAATGGCCGCTGCAATCAAGGCAATCAATGCGAAGATCCGGTCTAACAAGGCCCTGGATTACTTCTGCTCTACCCGTACGTTCAATCCTCACCGTTACCCTCTCCGTGTTCCTGACCGAGATCGGCCGACAAGAATGTCTGCCGTAAGACATGTTCTGAAGGGGTTGATGAGCAACTTCAATGAATCCTTTCAGCACATGTTATCGGTCACGAACACGAAGCTCTTACTTAGCCAAATCTGGTTCATAAAAAGCAATTTCTCTTGGCTAACAATGATATTAACTAGACTTCTGGGGCCCTGCCTCCAACTTCGGTATCCCCATTGCGGCGGTGATGGATACTCAGAAGGACCCTGAAATGTACGTCGCTACAATTACCTCCCCTCGCTCCGCGGAGTTCCTTTCCTGAATAAACACTGCACATCGAATTAAGCTTTGAGAGCTTATCGGAATAGCCCAGACGAACATGCCAGCACCCTCTTAACCAATAATATGTTTGCTAACTGTCATTCTATCTACACAGTATCTCCGGCCAAATGACCGGTGCTCTCGTTGTCTACTCGGGAACTTTCATGCGCTACGCCCTTGCCGTCTCCCCCAAGAACTACCTCCTGTTCGCCTGCCACGCCGTCAACTTCTCCGCCCAGCTTACCCAAGGATACCGCTACCTGAACTACTGGAAGTACGTCACAAAATGGCTCTATCTTCCCACCCTCATTGAGACATGAAAGGATAATGCTGACTTTCGCATCAACAGCTGGGGAGGCCGTGAAGCTCAGCTCGCCGAGGCCGCCAAACAGGGCAAGGATGCCACCGAGGCTGGCGCTTAAACGACGTCATCTTCCTTTTCTCGACTTTATCGCCTCATCCCGCTTGCTGCGCGGCTTATGAATACCCCATACGTCTTCAGCAGCATTGCCTGCCTACCTACCCATTTAAGTAGACAATACCACAATTTTATGAATCAAATCGCCAAATCAATGTGAGACCTGTACGTTGAGGGATGATCCAGGTAAGATATGGGGCAAGATGAAGGCTCCAGCCACTTGTATTATTAATAGTGGCGCTGGGATTGGTAGTTTTGTTTGGTGGGGGGTTTTCTGCTGTTGACTATGAGATATCTTTGTATCTAGCAGCTGGGCATGCCGGGGTTTTCTGTATATAGGCTTTTGTTTTTGCGCATCAACAAGGTTTAGACATTGATGATCTGGTAAAGCTTTGTGTAGTCGACTTCATTTATTTGAGTAAGTGTTATCTGCTTAGAAGGGAGGATGGACAAGGTCAAAATAGACATATACTGGCAATTTAATCTCTAGTCTATATCAAATACAATCGAGAATACAGCAATAATAAACAAGATTTAATCAAACAGGGGTTTAGCAATCAGACCAAGAAGTATAGGCCAATCCATCGAATGGACGATGGCCTCACATTGTAGCATCAATCATTCATATCCAGAGATCCGATCCGAAGGAACGGTATAACAATCATGACATTTACACAATCTATGAGTCACAGTAGCCGGGGGCTTTGACGTCTGACCCATTGATCCAGTTGTTGAGCGTCAGGGCGGTCGTATACAAACAGCTAAGGACACCAAAAACGGAGAGTGCGATATCGGCAATCTGCTGTCGTCTTGACTGGGCACAGGCCTTGAGATGCAGTAGAGGCTGAGCAGAAGTTAGTAATCGATTTGGCGGACTAGACGAAGGTACGTCAATAGTTAACTTACCGGGTATACGTAAATCAAGGGGACACAGGCGAAACTTCCGACAAGCGAAACAAACTTGTCCAAGTCTTCTGCTCCGCCCCAAGCAATAAATGCACAGATCATGACAAGGAAGAAACGGAAGCAATTCTTCTTCCACTTGATACTGGGGTTGTACTTTCCGCTGCGAGTGAAAAGCTCGTTCTCCAAGATTCGAATGGCCGGGAAGAGCTGCAGTGGGGTACTGAGAAGAATCGCCAGAGAATACAGGAACTGCACAGCATTTACAAACTTGTCATCCTGAGGCATGTTGAGGATGACTACCGTCTTCGTTGCGGATCCATATGCCGCATAGCTGAACGCACCAGCGCTGAGGAAGATGATCGTGATTATCACCATCACCATGGCGAGGACACCGGGGAACTTTTGCGGGTGCTTCATTGATTCCTGAATGGGAATGATTAGACCAATGCCCTCATATGTGAAAATAGCCGTGCCGATGAAAAGTGTCCAGGTGGATGGATTGAAGGATATGATATCCGAAACACCGCCTTGGTTGGAGATAGTCAAGAAATCGTAATAGAAGAGGTAAACCAGCCCCATCATGATGAACAGGTCTGCAATGAGGGCAGTGAAACCGAGCTTGCTGATATCGCGGATCAATGAAAGAGGGAGGAAGATGACCAGCTGCAGCAGCACCATAAACTTGATGTCAATAAAAGATTTGCATTTGCTGACAGCCAGGACAAAGGCTTGTAGGTTCTCGGCCGTGAAAACAATGTATGCCGAGACGAAGCCCAATTGACTCAACACAATGGAGCCGAGAATGATGCGCCTCATATGCTTTCCATAGAGCGCACCGCCAATGTCACCAAAAGAACCATCAATCTTCAGCCGCGTATTAACCAGGAGGATGAAACAGTAAAAGCTGAGTAGTGATACACCAAGAAGTACCATGCTACTGAACAGCATGCCACCGTTCAAGAAAGCTCTCGGCAAGAACAAGACTCCTGTACCAACGAAAGACTTGAGTAGAAGCAAAGCTGCTCCGGTCCGCGTGTTGGTTCCCGTCCCACCGCGTGGCTTGCGCTTCCTCCGGCCAGCTGTGTCTGGCCTGAGAAGGGCTGAGTCTTCACCTGGTTCTCTGCCTTCTGCTTCATCATAAGTATCCGATGAGAAGTACTCATCAGGACCCAAGACCTCGTCATCCTCTTCAAGCTCTTCACCAGCAAAGTGACCGTATAGAGTCAGAAATTCCAGAAAGCTGCTTGTTGGAAGCTGGGGCTGAGCAGCAGAAGCCTGCGCACCCGAGCCATCCAGATCTCCAGGGAGGTTGGGGCCTACTGCCCGTCTTAGATAGTCTCTTCTGAAACCTCCTGGGACACGGATACTGTTGATGTTCGTGGTTTCATCCTCAGGTGCAGGTCGAGCATGACTGAAGCTCCTGCTGCGGTGGGGTTTCCGCAATGAGCTTCCAGCTTCTGCATCCTCGGCCCATCTGTACACCTGTCTCGTGATATCACCACCCTGGAGTTGCAGACTAGAGAACTCATCCTCGGCGTTACTTTGGGCACCCCCAGAAGAGTGAATATCCCGATTTTCGACCACATTCTGGGGTTGCACCAAATGTCTCTTGACAACTTCGGGATCCTCGTATGGGCCAGCTGAATATATCGAACCCTCTCTCCCAGCCTTGTTATCGAAGGAACCGTAGTTCGACCTGACAGGCTGGTTCAGGAGGCCAGGCGAAGCAGTCCGCCTCGGAGGGGTACCCGCTCTCGGAGGAGGAGATCGGCCGAGGTAGTCCTGGAGCGCAGATGCAATCATGGATTGTCCGGGGCCGGGTAAGGATGACGGATTGTCGACTTTCCGAAGGTCTTGGTTGGTTGCTGCGGTTGGTTGAATCGGCAGCGGTACCTGTCTTGACGAATAGGAATTCGAGGGAGAAGGAATTGGTGATGCTAGACGGGCTATCGAGGCATGCCTATAAGAAGAAGAAACATCTCCTGCAGGTGATCCTGAGCGCATCGCGGACGTGGAGATCGGCGACGCTGAACGGTTACGCTGAGAGGATGAGCCCTCACCGTTGTCAGACATCCTGGAGGATGACATGTTGACAAGAAGCAATATTGAATTTTTCTCGGAGTACGAGAACTTGGTTAATTCCGAAAACAATTCGTACTATTTGAGTTTTCGGAGGCGAACCAGGATCATGGGGGGAATGCCTACGAAGTAGGAAGGGCTGATAAGAGCGGAGAAGGAGAGTTGAGAGGATCGATAATGCGAGAGGCGCAAGTCGTTCACCGCAATGTATGCGGAGGGACTAGGCTTCCTGTTGTTTCCACGCACCCCAAAACACCCCGCGCCTTGTCGACCATGACAATCATGAACAAAGATGAGGACGGGCCAACAAAGGAACGATAGCAGTGATGGAGAGACGAGGATGAGATAAGGGAGATCAGATGAGGCAGACTGCCAGACCCAGTGACCACTTTTGCATTGTTTGTTTGTCGCTCGGCACATGAGGTCATCGCCGACGATCTGAACTCGGACTTCGCGTCTCCATTATCCTTTGTTCGTTACACGGTAACTCAACGTGCATGGCCCTGAGAGGTCCTTGCTGGTTTGCATCACAGTAGCTCTTACTGTGCTTGCAGGCAAATTACTCTTACCCGGTCTTAGCACCAACTCATTGTCCTTGCGCCTCCGATTCGTCCGCTTTCAATTGTGTCATTGCTGTATGAGGGAGGAGAAAAGCTCCTACAACCAGGAGCGGAGGCCCTATATCCATGACTGACGGACGGGCTGACAGTGCCTCGGAGTCTCTGTCCCGAAGGAGACCCAATTTCTCCACGCGGGCGGCTGAAGAAGACGTTTCTAGGTTGGATCCGAGCGAATCTGCCAATGCATCCCCCGAAGAAAGTAGCAAGTTCCTCCACGGGAGGATGAATTCCTCCTCACATTCGCACGAGCC